ACTTGACTCGTATTTTTGCTGCTTAGAGAAGTTTGTTTGTTATGAATTTCGCGCAAAGCTACACGAGGGCTATCTGCGCTAGCCGTCCCTAATTTAGCAGTGTAAGACTAGAGGGAAGGCAGCTAGTCATCACCACCCACCGCCAACTCTTGGACTACTCTTTTACCAACGAATAGTGGGATTACATTATAACGCCCCCACGGCTGAAAGGGCGAGCATGTTTGGTGGGACGGGGATTCGAACCTGCGACCCTTAGATTGCGAGTCGAGCGCCTTATCCACCTGGCCATGCCGGGCCAATACAGGTTTAGATACTTCATTGTCAAATGACAACAAAAATATCCAACGTAAACTTTGAAATGAGGAAACAACTAGGCCACATTTCAATGAGACAGTGTATTATTACGGATTATATTTTTGCACACAACAAATTTCAATGTAAATTATATTACAAACGAAGTAAATATGGAGTTATAATACCAGCCCACTTGCTTTTACATATTGTTGCGTATCTACTTGTTTGTTAATTTCCCGTAAAAATTCTTTCCGAGAAACTTCAGCGATACAAGTCCTTTCTTAAATAAAACTAATTTAGTCTTTCTCAATACAACTTTGCAATATACAGAATTTCCACGGTCACTTTTAACTTAAACACACGCTATAATTCACAACGATTCACGCACTTTACTTACGGTCACTAACGCTCACTTGACTCGATTATATGTCTCTATATCTACCTATCTGCAATTATATATGCCGCCCCTCTTTTTCTCCGCTTTGTTTGCCGGGCTTATATACAAAAATAGAGGGCGTCTGGCAAACACTAGAGTTGCCAGGAGCAGTCATGATCCTTCTAGAAACTCATGATGTGTTACCAGCGTCACGTGACTTCCGCTGTCGTAACAATATATCTGATTCTGTTACAAACACATTAATTCACAATTTTAAAGACTTTACAGAATTTGAGCTAGTTGTTTTTTTAAAATAAATAATAATATATTTTACAAATATATCAGCTTTGGAGATGTTTCGTTACAAACTAAAACGGCATTCTTAGTTTTTCCCTACAAGACGCCCCCCAGTGGCACAGCGATATGTACGCGGACT